CGTGTGCTCTTCCGATCTATGGACATCAAAGAAGATGAAGATATTGTTGCTCATTAGAGGGAATAATCAATTTTCGTATTTTCGTTTCTTGCAAAAACACACTGCCGAAGAATTTATACTCCACGATGGTTATTCATGCTGGGAATGCGGATGCTCATTGTTTCAAATAATGCCATGTAACATGTGACCTATTTGCACAGAGTGAGAAAGACATTGCAAAATATTTGTGTATTCGTGCCAAAGGAGCATGGAGCAAACGATACGAGATCTGGACGAGCAAGCCACCCGGCTGATTACGCGAGAAGACTTTATCACGTGGGAAGAGCGTGTCGACGAATTCATCAATTCGCTCAATGAACAGAGTCGAAATCCGCGATTATCGATCGGTGCGAGACAATCTGTCATCGCTCGTATCGCGCAACTCGAAAGTTTGAAAGATGCGGTGCGCGGACAATTCGTGCATGTGGGCGCAGGATACGGTACAGGACTCAGGTGGAGATAGATGCAGCTTTCAATAGTCGTATACTGATCGGTGCAGTAATAAATTCCAGACACATTGAACCTCGACAGTTTCTGGAAGATGCGCGAGAAATTGTGCTCAAACGTGTGCGAAATGTTATGCAGAGACATAATAACATTAAGATAAACACCGTATTTAACAGCGAATTCGTAACGGGTGACAAACGTGAGAATAAAAGTGTTATTACGAGAAACTGTGAACTCTATCTTTGCTCCGATTTACGCGTGTGATACGATTCGCGATTGTTGAGCCTACCTTAGCGTCGCTGAAAGAATTCCAAGAACGTGACAGCGGGTGGGTATTATCGCGTATATTGAACTTGCTAGTTAATATAAATAAGATTAATCCTTTGCACGCGGGGTGTCATATCCAGTTACCGCGAGAAATTATGACGAAGAAAGCGGTCGTGAACGTGCGATCTATGGACAATGCATGTTTCGCATGGTCAGTGGTGGCCGCTCTATATCCAGCTAAAAGTAATGTGGAACGGGAATCGTCGTATCCGCAATATAAATCTGTGTTAAATCTCAACGACATTGAATTTCCAATGACGTTAAGTCAAATAAAAATATTCGAGAACCTCAACGCAATCTCCATCAACGTATATACCATCGAGAACAAGGAACAAGTATCGATCCTACCGATTCGCCTTGCTGATACGAAGAAGGAGAAGCATGTCAATCTACTGTACGTGGAGAAAGATGATGTGGGACATTTCACATGGATCAAGAATTTGTCCCACCTCGTGAGCTCACAACTGAGCAAAAAGAAGAATAAGAAATACATTTGCGATAGGTATGTATAATAAAAACTTTAAAAAAATTTTTTGAAATAAAAAAGAAAAATGAAATAAATTAATTTTTTCAGATGTCTGCACTATTTTAGTTCGAGCGAAAAGTTGGAGGTCCACACCGTCGACTGCAGGGAAATGAACAAATGCGCGATCAGGTTACCGAGTGAAGATGACAAGTGGCTGAGTTTTAGCAACTACAGCAGGAAAGAACGTGTCCCGTTTGACGTGTACGCTGACCTGGAATGTATCCTGACAAAAATAGTGAGACATCCGGAACCACCGAGCTACAAATATCAGCATCATCAAGTATTTAGCATAGATTATTACGTACACTGCTCGTATAATGACGCATTATCAACGTATCAGTTTCGTCGCGATACAGATTGCGTTGCATGGTTCGCCGATAAACTCAGATGTTTAGCACAAAGTAAAATCTATTATATTCACTAATGCACCCATGGCAAATTTCACGCAAAATGATTGGGAAAGATTTTACAACGCCACACACTGTCATGTTTGCGAGAAGCCGTTTGCGCCTGACGACTCGCGGGTACGCGATCACTGTCATTTGACTGGGCGATATAGAGGTCCGGCACATTCAAATTGCAACTTAAATTACCAAGATTCGCATTGCATTCCAGTAGTTTTTCACAATTTGTCCGGCTACGATGCGCATTTTGTTATCAAGGAATAGCTGAAGCATACAAGGGCCGTGTAGAACTACTTCCAATAACAAAAAATATATATATATTGTTTACAAAAAATGTTCGAAGCACCGAAGATAAAAAGAATCGAAATATTTGTATAAAATTGCGATTTATCGATTCATATAAATTTCTCAATTCCAGTCTCGACAAATTGGCGTCAAATCT